AAGTGTCGGACCCGTCCGTTGCGCGACTTCCGGCTCAAGCTTATAGCTGGACACGATATCAAAGTCAAGATAGACGGAGAGAATGCGCCCGTTGATTTCTAGCAAATATATACGCGAAAAACGCGTCCTACGATGAGCGTGATGATCTCCAGCAACGAAGCGAGGATAAATTTCGATAAAAGCTGACAAAACTAACAACAGGCAAAGGGGATGCTTAATCGCTCGATTACTACAGGTTTAAGATACAGGAGGAGAACAGGTAGTCAGTACAAAGATTCAGAACGAGAACACGCCGCTTCCAATCTTGCCAACGAATCATCCGGACTAAGTAGACGATGAATTCAACGTCAAATTTGGAAGGAACTGTACTTACAGTAAGGAGTTTCCGCTTCACATCCAGGAGCTCGTTACGGACGCGTTCTGCTCGTTGCGTCTAAGTAATGGTTAGATACACTTGATAGATGTAGGAGGTAATGCGCACCGCTTCTTCTGTTTCCCTTTTGGCACGAACGATGAGGCTTTCCCCTGATTCCCTCAAACTGGCTGACACGGCCTTTTCTTCTTTGAGTTTCTGCCTCAGATCCAAGATTATCGCATCCTTCGTTATTGCGTCGGGAATATTACATGCCGAATAAATACAAGGGAGGGCGAGACACAATGGTTGGAAAGTTGAAGCTGAGCAGTGTACGACACTGCAAAGCGGCGACCAGGGCGAAGAGGCTCCGCAGCGTACGACGCTTGACGAAGATGGTGGGCGAGGAAGAAGACGAGATTTGATGGGATCACACGTGCTCGGCGATGGTCGCCGATCACCAGACGAGTAAATATCGGACCCATTGGCGACGTGATCTTGAGCTCGATTTCGAGGCTGAACGTGATTTTAGCCGTGAGGAAGCTAAGAATATAGAGCTCCTTTTACCCTGTCCATGATAGACGCAAAAAGACGCGTCGGACAGCGCACACTGGCGAAGACTTGGATAACGAGAGAAAAAAAATAGTGAAGACAAATTTATTGTCTACGTACAAACGAAACTCATGAAATGTACTAAATGTTTCTGTGCTTGACTTAGTAGTAAAAGTAAAAGGCCGACACTCCTGGGAGGTTTTCCAAATCTTCGACCTCCTCCGACTTCGGGAAGCGTATGAAGCGAGCCAAGTCACGGTCATATGGCTTGCGCAGCGGTGAAGTGCTTCCAAGGAAGAAGTATAATGGGATCTGGGGCTTTTCGATGATGTGGGGCAAAAGCGACTCGAGCCAATCATATTCGTCACTTTGGTCGCTGAGAGTCAAATCGATGATACCACCAAGACGCTCTATCTGTGGATCACAAATTCCCTGCTCTAGGTTGCCAAGGAACTGCCATGGCAGCAGCGTCTTGCGCTGGACAGCAGACCACACGTCCTCTTCTGTTCCAACGTCGTACATTAGCATGGAAAGCATGGCTATCATTGCCAGGAGAGGCAGAAAAGCATCCCGGGCCCGCATAGCCCGGCTGACAGCGTTACTACGAGTGAGAGCATCGCGTTCCGAATAGAGGTGAGAGACGGGCATATTGAAGTCCCGACCAGGGTATATGCCTGTGGATTCACACATGCCCACCAGCACTCGGTGAATCTCGCGCAAGGAACTTTCAAGAGCGACCCACTCGTCGATGAGCTTTTGCTCGAGGCCCCAACGATCCGTTTGCAGAGGATAACCTCTCGCATCAGCGTACGCATAGGAATTGTATTGTTCGATAGGGAGACTTTCGGGAGTTACATCCAGACAAGAGAGGAGCTTGCTTTTGAAAGGATCTTCTCGAGGAAGAAACAACAAAAACGGGTGGTGGGGACTGATCCACGTAGTGCGACGAAAATCACCAGGGTTGAACTCAGGTGCTTCAGGCCCGCGAGCGTCTGCAGGACGGGGCAGGTGAAGCATGTAACGAGGGTCTCCGTGGTACACTCCAAAGATACCCTGCTCGTTACGAAAAAAACCGTCAAACAATCTATTCTAGGCAAACATCAGTTATGAAATAGAGAGAAAAGGGGGGGAAAGACGTACGTGGGGGAACGTAGGGCAGTTGTTAGCCTCGGTATTCATGGTAGCACTCTTTTATTTGATCCCAGAAATCGTGAAGCTGTAAGAACGTCGCGCGACGCGCGTATCGCTCCGGGAACTTGTAGTAGGTTGTTTCGAAGAGTCCCTACAGCGCGGCGCAAAGCGCTTATCGCTGCAGTTGCCGGATGGTGGAAGAAGAAGGAATGGATATGGTGACTAAATGTGACGACGATCAGTGACGCACGTGCCCGGACAGGACCGCCGATGGTCGCCGAGATAAGTCCAAGTAAGTATCGGACCCACCGGTGGCGCGAGTCTGGAGTCAATTTGGGGGCTGGACACAATCTGAGTTCAGTACAAGGTAGGTGTATGTCGCTCGCTTCGCTATACCCATAATAAACGCGCAGGACGCGTCGAAGGATAAGGTGGACGACCTCCAGCAGCACACCGACGAGGAGGCGATATCCACTCACGATGAGGCGACAATGAAGTTGGAGACAAATGTTTAATGGGTTTATTAGTACAGTACACTCTAAGTATTGGTACATGTACAAGCAATGAGGAGAGAGAGAGAGAGAGACAAAGACAGTTTAAGAGTGGTTCAGTTAAAGGCGGAGGTAAACGAACGCCACGCTTCGTAGAGAGCTTCGTAGAGAGCTTCGTAGAGAGTTTCGCAGGTGACAAGCAGGATGTCATGATAGTGCAGATATCCAGCAAGCGCCGCGAGCATGACGATGACCCCTTGAACCCAATTATCGGTGAACAAAAAGGCCAAAAAGCCAAAAATGGCGATGAAAATGAAGATTGCGTGCACGGGATCGAAGCCCGGTGGAACTAGATGAGAATGAGCAAGAAGTAAAGAAGGAGGCAAACACTCACAGCGGAGAGAGATGTTGCCAGGACTAATCCGCACCATCAGGGTGTCTGTGGCCTCCACCGGAAGCCGATGAGATGGTGGGAGCCCTCAGCTCACCGCGAACGACGGGCTCACCGCGAACGACGGCGTGAGACCTTTGGAGAGGACGAGAAGGAGGGGGTGAGAAACGACCCGAGAAGGTATCCGTGGTCGAGGAGATGGTTGAACTCTGCGCGAGGCTCGTATTAGCTCTGCTCGGCTGGTAGGTCCCGTCGGAGCTGTTGCTCGCAATGCTGATCGAACTGTGGAGGCCCCAAGACGGAGTCTGGTTGTTCCCCGGGCTGCTGGTCGGACTGTCGAAGTTGATCGGACTGTCGAGGTTGGTCGACTGTCGGTTGCCAGGCGGACTGTCGAAAGTTGGTCGCACTCCAATCCGAATCATCGTCGTACATTGGTGGGTTGGGATGGGGGAAAATGTTGGTGGTGGGTTGATTGGGACAGGGAAGTTGTGGGTTGGAGAACGAAGAATTTGAGACTTTAAGAAGGTTTTCTTCAAAGAGACTGGGCTCTTTGTGCACTAGTAAGCATCGGAAACGACGTCAATCCCCGAAGGCGGACAGACAAAGGGGACATGCAGGGTTGTATCCACATGTCCACAAAGGAAGAGATAGCGCCCCCGGTGCAATCGAGATCCATCATGCTGATGGCGCGACGACCAGCTGAGCAGTGTACGACACTGCAGAGCGACGGCAAGAGCATGAGAGCCTCCGCAGCGTACGACGCCCGACGGAGGTGTGGACGAGGTGTGGACGAGGACAAGACGGGCGAAGTTTGATGGGATTACACGTGCTCGGCGATGCTCGCCGATCATCGTCGAGGTAGGTGTCGGACCTATTAACGACGCGACTTGTAGCTTAATTTTGAGGCTGGATGTGATTTTAGCTAGCTGGAGGGTAGGAGAATTGAGCCCGTTGTACCTTGTTTATGGTAGACGCGAAAAACGCGTCGCAACAACAGTAATCGTGGGATCCTCACACTTGTGATAATGATGAGACAATATGACCAGTAATAGTATTGTGCAAAGGACGCACTATGTGCTAATCGACATGTAGATTACTCTGATGAGAGGAAGTCCAAATTACAAAGGCGAGCCAGGCGCCGCGCGTACCATCCTCGATGCAACGAGACCATCGCCACCGAAAAAACACCTCCGAAAAGTACTTCCCCTCCGTCAATTTTCTCCTGAAGATCCGTCATTCGTTCATATCCACGCAAGAACACTTCAGCATCCCGATTCCAAAGTTTAACCGCGTCCAATCGACTCAAAGTCTTATACTGCTGCAACCAGTTATTTTCCTCCTCCCCTTCCTCCCGCAGCTTGTGTCCGGATACAGCAGCACATAGTTCCTCGGTTTTGTCGAAAGGACGTGGTTTACTCCCGCTAAGCAATGAAGGAGCATATGGAGGTGCGGAGGTGTAAGGCCACAGGCCATCCAAGCTTAAGGTGCCCTTGAATGCCTGACGGAAGAGCGGTTCTCGTCTTGGCAGGTTAAATTCTGCATCTCTTTGAATCTCTTCCGTGAGTTGGACGCTAAGCTCGTAGCTCCCTTGCTTGCGGCCCCTCGTCTTGCCGATGCGCTTTCGGTACTTGGCCCGACTACTTTTGCCTCTGTCAAATGTGAGTATGAAATAAACAGATCGAGTAACAGCAACTCACCTGACGCTTCCTTCGTACTTCTGCTTATGAGCTCTCGCAGCTGCCTTCCTCTCCTCCTCGGTTTCGTACTTCTTTGGCCGTGGCATGTTGTGTTGCGGAGATGCGCTGGGGTACCGTAGTGCAAAGCACCTATCGGTCCAGTGTCTGGGTGTGTCGTATGTGCTGGCAAGCCGTTTGGATCCGTCGCGCAATGCGCGTATCGTTCCAAGATGAAGGACAAGAATAAGACGAATGTCGTCACTCGTCGAAAAGTCACTCGTCACACATTGCGATCACTTAGTCATTGATGATAGTTGGTCAAAAAAGCAGAAATAGTCGTTGAGCGAATGCTATATATGTACACGATAATGGTCTACATGATACTGTCCTATGTATTTGTCCGTAACTCAGAGATACCCTACAGCTGGACACGAGGCGAGAAATCTGCGACACATCTCAGAGTTGCTGGTTGCAGTTTTGCGAGCTTGAGAGTTGAACCGGATTTTGTCCTTCCATCCCGGAGTGTTCAGAATTTCAACATCCCCTTGCTGCAGTTCCGCCAGTCGTCTTTGGAACCATCTCTCGCAATTAGCACTCCAGTAACCTACATTCAGGCCCGATGAGTGAAATGCAACCAGCGATGGCCAGATCGACGCGTATTTTATCTGAGCACCCATTTCGTCGTTCCAAGCAGAGACACCTAAGGGAGATCAGCATTGATTCCTGAGAAGACACTTGTGCAAACCTGTTTCGACCTTGTAAACGCCTAAAATGAGGTCGATTTCGGAGGCAGTCAGGGCTTCGCGCCATAAAGCTCTACCCTCGCCTATGTCTGCAAGAAAAGCACCTTGATATAGTGTGGTACCGGGAGGAGAGGCATGAATATTATGCAGGTAGTCCCCTATGGTCATCCGGGCAATCCGCGACACAATTCCACCATGGAATAGAGCTGCCCAGCCACGTTGCGACTTCAAGAAGTCATCTCGTCGCTTCACGTATGCCTGGTAGTCGATTGTATTCAATCGATAACCAGGCGGTCGACGACCAAGACAGTCTTGTGTCAAGGCGGGTTTTAGAGTTTTACCGCTGTTACGAATCCAACAAGGCGAGAAATCCGCTCCAATGATCGCAAGTTCTTCAATAATCGTTTTAGTATCTTTCCAGCCCGATCGGATACATTGAAGAACTGTTGCACCGTCTTCTACCAACACCATTGGTTCCTCCTCGCTGTCGTCGTCAGGGACGAACAAAAATCTGAGTCGGCCTCTGACGACGATCTTTTTGACCGCGACGGGCCAAGCTTCGGAGTGGAGGCTGGCAGTCATGGTATTGATATCACAAAGGCCGACCGGTTGGATTGTTCTCGTTGTGTCGAAGATATCAAACATTGCTTGCAAGAGAATGGAATAATTGATGGGGATATCATTCTTCCAAGCAGTATCCCCACAGGCCCACGATGCCCATACAGCCTTCATTTGTTTGGCGTTGCGAGGCGCAACGAAACCAGTCTGGAGCCCATAACGCTTGATCGCGATGTCGTCGTTGTTGGGAAGCACATAGACGGCGACGTCGACTTGCATTTTATCATCATTGGCATAAACTTGTTCAAGTACCTCAACAGCAGATTGCTTTGAAGCATTGCAGATTTTCTCGGAGCCTGGAACATCGGGGGACCTCGGGTACGACGCTGTCGACATGGGGGATGGCCGGGTATTCATGGTCGAACTCGTCGTTCATGTCAAAACCGTCATCGGGCACCTCCGCCTCCGGGTCTAGCTCTTCCGCAAGGTCCCATTCGTTACTAAAGCCATCGTATATCCGTTGTGTTGGTGCAAACTCGTCCCAACGGTCCCGGGCATCTTTTTGCCCGTAATGTCTACGCAAGATGAAAGAATCACCTCCAATCCCACTTGTCTCCCAAATGTAGACCTTAGTGCCATGTTTGCCGTGGATGGATGGCGGCTCCCCTGTTTTCGCGATCTCTTCAAGCTTTAAGCGAGTCTTCCGCTTACTCTCCGATTCCCTTGCGAGCCGCTTCTCGTTGTTCTTTTTGCGGCGCGCCATGAACTCGTGAATTTTCTCGCCCGGAAGTTGGCCACTGTGAGGTTCCACAGGTGGGTAAACAATGGTTGCGGCACCAACACTGTCAGCATGTTCGTTACGGTCGTCTGTTGTCCCAGGATCAGGGGATTCGTCTAGATACGGTCGATAGCAAGATTTGGGCGGGCGACGCTCGAACAAAGGCGGTCGAGGGTCCCGCAAGGTCGGCAACGTGCGAGGTTGGAGTTCTTGGTTGCGGGGAACAGTTCGGCCTGATGTCCACACGGGAGTTTTTGTAGACCATGGGCTGAACGCCGAAGACCCTGGAAGGTTCTCCAAGTACTCGATTTCTTCGTAGTTTGGTATGAGTCCTAGCTCTTTCAAGGGATCGGGAATTGGCTCGTTCGGTGGGAAAGTCTTTCCGAAAAAGAAGTATAGTGGAACCCTATGATTCTTTAATATGTGCGGCAACAGCCAGCGGATGTGTCGAGGGACGTAATGGTTGGGATATGTCTTGCTGGCAGTCAAATCGATGATGCCGCCCAGACGCTCGACTTGTGGATTACAGAGTTCCCGTTCTAAGTCGTCGAAGAACTGCCATGGCACCTGCGTCTTGCGCTGGAGAGCAAATCTCCAGTCTCCCGTTTCTTTGTCGTCCATTAAAACGTAGAGCATGGCTATCATTGCCACAAGAGGAAGAAAAGTATCCCGAGCCCGCATTGCCTGTCTGACGGCGTCGTTCCGGGTCAGAGCACTGCGTAACGTATAGTATTGGGTTACAGGCAAATTGAAACCCCAAACGCCAGGGTGTACAATCCCCTCAGGATCATACATGAGCACCAGGGCTTTATAGATCTTGTGCAAGGAACCTTCGAGAGCAACCCATTGGTCGATGAGCTTTTGCTCAAGGCCCCAGCGGTCTTTGGGAAGGGGATTTTCGGGCAAAGTGAGGTACCCATACGGAACATGGTTCTCGATGGAAAGGGTTCTGGGCGTGACATTGAGACAAGAGAGAAGCTTGGTTTTGAAAGGATCATCTCGCGGGAGAAACAACAAGAACGGGTGGTGGGGACTGATCCATGTAGGACGACGGAAATCACCCTGGTTGAAGCGAGGCGCTCGGGGCCCGGGGGCGTCTTCAGGACGGGGCAGGTCAAGCATGTAACGAGGGTCTCCGTAGTGCACTCCGAAGATACCCTGCTTGTTACGAAAAAAACCGTCGAAAAACCATTGATTCTGGAAAAACATCGATTATTGAGCAGAAAGAGAAGGGAAAATTCAGAACAACGTACATGGGGGAACGTTGGACAGCTCTGAGCCTCGGAAGACATGCTGGGATCCTTCTATTTTCGTCCTTGTCGAAACTGAAGCAATGAGAACGTGGCGCAACGCGCGTATCGTTCAGTCGGTTGGTGGTCGAGTACAGTGTTGCGCAACGCGCTTATCACTGCAGTTCCTCGGTTGTTGGGGATACTTGTTTATCGTCGTTGGAAGTTTAGAGAAGAAGCGAAATGGTGACTGCGTGTGACCACACGTGCTTTTGACTCGACGATCATCGCAACCCGAGTTCTTTAGGGCCGGCCCAATTTTTGCCTTGAAGATTTTTAGCCGACGCTTACTCGTCCTGTGATCGGCGACCATCGCCGAGCACGTGTGATACCATCAAATCTGCGTTGTTCCTCCTCCACCACCACCTCCGTCTGGCGTCGTACGCTGCGGAGGCCTTCTGGTCTTGTCACCGCTGTGCGGCGTCGTACGCCCTTCAGCTCTACCGCTTCCGATATTCCCCGATGTTTATCTTCCCCTGCTTATCCTCGCATCCACGAGGTTGCGACAACCGAGACTGATCCCTTTGTTTTCAAACCCCGGTCTCGTCTCTCATGACCGACGTCATCTAGGTGCCTGCCAACGCGTCGTCTTGAGTTCTTTGTGGCCACAAAGCTCGAACCCTTTGTCACCCGCCTTATATCGAGCATTCTCTTACCTTCGTCAACCACTGCAACTCATGTCTTCCCCTCTCACCAAAGCCGCCTCCTGCCCTGCCAGCTTCTCATTTGGCACGACCGACGTGGACGAACCTGATTTTTCGCCCCGTCCCACTAAGGCCGTCTCCCGCCCACCCTCTTTCTCATTTGGCACGACCAACGTGGACGAAACGGAGTCGGAGCCCCAAATTCCATCCCGTATCGCCAAAGCCGCCTCATGCCCTCCCAACTTCTCATTTGGCTCGACCAAAGTGGAAGAACCGGGAGTCCGAGCTCCAAATTCCATCTCGCATTGTCAAATCTGCTTCCTGCCCTCCCAACTTCTCATTCGGCTCGACCAACGTGGACGAACCGGAGTTCGACAAAGCCGCCTCCTCCAACTTCTCATTTGGTGCAGTCGATTTGGGTGAATCTCAACCAATGCGCCAGCACGCGTACGACCTGCAGCCAACGAAGCAGCTCGATTCCCTCACCGCGTTCAGTGTATCGAGCTCCGAACTTTCCCAGTCCGTCTCCGTCGTTGCGAGCGAGGTGGACGACGAGCTCTTCCAAGCGGAGAGTTTTAACGTGACAATTGGAGGCAAGTCCGCCGTTCTCTACTCTCATTATTTGTCTGACAGACGTTCAGAAAACGACAACTCAAACTTGGGCAATTATCAGTACATCAAATTGGCCTTCGCCGTCTGCTTGATCACCATCGTCATCGCTCTTCGTATCGAGCACTTGAAGTACTACTCTATTTAGATCTCTCGTAGTCTTCGTTCTTTTCAATTCAATGCAAATTTCTCTACAAAAACATTGCGAAGAATGGCAACTCATACTTAATGAGTGCCTTATCGTCGGACGCCGGTGCGCTTCAACCGCGCCATTACTCGCGTAAATATCTTAGAGGAGATAACGGGCACATTTCCCCCATCTATTGACCTCTTCAAAACGCGTCTAGACACAGGTTTAAGCCGAACATCGCGCTGTGAATGGATCCGACGCTTACTTCAACGGACCGACGATGCTCCGTCCGAGCACGTGCGACCCGTCAAGTCGTGCCTTTTTCTTCTTTCTCCACCTCCGTCAAGCGTCGTACGCGGCGGAGGCTGTCTGATCTGGTCGCAGTTGTTCAACGTCGTACATGGAACAGCTTTGTATCCCTTTTGCGGCCTTGGGCCTTTCAAGGCATTCTACAAACATGCTCCATTTCGCAAAGGCGCTTGAATAAAGCAAGCTGCACCTTTCTTCGCCCCGCTTCTTTGACATGCGCGCCATATAAGTATTCCGCCTGGCCCTTTCCCCTCTCACAACACTCCACTTAACAACCCCGATGACTTCCTCCATGGCGACAACTGACAAATTCCAACCGATGGAGGATATCCAGCCGACTACTGCTCTAGCCTCCGGCGCAAGTTCAGTCGCCGCCCAGAAGATAAAGATAGCGAAGCCTTCTGTCTTCATATCTGCGCTCAAACGACTGGGAAATTGGGGCCTCGTCTTTTGCAAGACGCTTATCCGCGCTGGCAAGTACAATTTTATCAACATTTGGTGATTGCTAATGAAGACCAGGACCAGCCTCCTCGCTCGACCGTGTCCTCTTAGGCGTCATGACCACATGCATGGTCCTCTGTGTATTAGGTGTCGCATTGCAGCTGGCTTTTCTGCTCTGCCTCTTTTATTTTGTCATTGCCCTCCGTCAGTCCATTTCTTCGACTCACACTACTTACCTTGATAATTGAATTAGTCCGCGCAATTGGTTGGATCGACTTCTTCTGCCTTGTTGTTTGCCGCACCATGTGCATCGTTTGGCCGGGACTCCTCGTCTCATTGATCTTGTTTGTCGTTATTCGGTATACGACGGCCGCAATCATATCCGTCCTCACCATCTACCTATTGCTGTTATTTGTATGAACTTGTATCTACGTAGTTCTATCTCAGTGGCTCACTCATACCGTACAATGTATTAATTTGTTCCTTTTCTGTTCAAACTCTCGATTCATAAGCTATCATTCCATGTACTGGAAGCTCTTACTGCTCGTCGAACGCGTTTTATCGCGTAGTTCGTTGACTGCGCATCACGGGCTCTGCACTCCTACATGCGCCTCTACTAAAATTACGTCCAGCCTCGAAAGAGAGCTGAAGGTCGCGCCACCGATGGGTCCGATATTTACTCGTCGGTGATCGGCGACCATCGGCCAGCACGTGTGATCCCATCACAATTCCCCTTCTTCCTCGTCCCAACCTCGTCTACCACCTCTGTCAAGCGTCGTACGCTGCGGAGGCCCTCCATTCCTGCCATCGTTGTGCAGCGCTGTATCGATGCAGCGTTTGCTCGGGAACTTACTCCTTGTTTGCACCGTGTGTGGTTAATACTATACAGTATTGAGTTGAATTATCCGCAGCTTTTTAGCCTTTTTACTTGAGTCTCTTCGTCTCTTGACTCCTACCATCATCTCCCTCAAGGGTCATACCCTGTGGAGATCCTACCACCCACCGATTCTATCACAATCTCTCAAGGGTCATACCCCGGGGAAAATCGCCCTCTGTTCTCCGAAAATGCCAGGTGGCCGTCCAATCAAGCACGTCGACGCAGACGCTTACAGAGCGGCCAATAGAAAGGCCAGCGAAAAATATCAGCAAACCGCGAGGTGCGTTGCCTCGGAAAGTAAGATTTTTTGGCGCTGATGATCTCGCGCTTCAGAGGCAAATTGGTTCGTGCAGCATACAGAAAGCGTATAGGAAAAACGAGGGGACGCAAAGAAGGAAAGATCAAATTCAATGGTCCCGAGCTGTCGGATACCATCCTCAACGACGCTGCTGCTTTTGAACCACCAAGGAAGAACGCACTCTTCAAGCGCGGCTTAGCAGGAGAACTCGAAGAAGGTCTTTACCCTTATAACGTCATGCCCCCATACAAGGCGTCCGACTTTACCCACACCCTTGCCTTCAAAAGTGTTCGAGAGCTGGAAAGTGCCGTCAAGGGCGACAAGATGCGGGAGGAGAAGGCCGAAGAAGAATCCTGGTTGGACCGCTTGCTGACGCATAAACGAAGCGGATGTCCTAGCCCTCTGGGATCAGCGAGCTAAGGAGTTTTTGGACCGATACTGGGCAATGAGAAACCATGAAGAGTCGGCGGAAGACGGGGAGTTCGACGAGTACACGATGGCGATGTTCCAGTTGCATCGGAGGTGGTTCGCTCGGCGTCTGTGTCGTCTGTGCCGTCTGGACTTTTTGCAACCCTCAATGTAGTAAAATGACTGTATTAGCGTGTTTGTGTGCATGTATTCGCTAGATCTCGAACGACAGTTGTTTCATATCGCCAGTCATGTAAGTTGTCGTGGTTATCGCCTCCTCGTCGGGTGCTCCAACGCGTCCTTCGCGTTTATAATGAGTATAGCGAAGCGAGCGACATACATCTACCTTATACTCAACTCAGATTGTGTCCAGCCCCGAAATTGAGCTCAAAGTCGCGTCGCCAATGGGTCCGATATTTACTCGTCTGGTGATCGGCGACTATCGGCGACCATCGCCGAGCACGTGTGATCCCATCAAATCCCGCCTTCTTCTTCCTCGTCCACCACCTCCGTCAAGCGTCGTACGCTGCGGAGCCCCTCCGGCCTCGCCACCGCTGTGCAGTGTAGTACACTGCTCAGAATACCAGTCTAGCACCTTACATATACCCTCGCCGTCTTTCCCTCGTCACCACGTCATTCGATTCTTCGCCATTAGCGATACATATCCTTGTACTGCTGCACCCATCCTTGAACATAAGCCGCGTGCGCCACTCCCCCAATAACCACCACGACGACCAGTGCCTCTAAGATGAAGCCCAGGATCCCCGACCACCCCATCCTCCCTCCGTGATCTTTGCCCCAGACCGATATCGAGTTTGGCCCGTCTATATTCTCACATCTGGCTGCGAAAATCATATGGCCTTTGCGAAGCTCCGATGTCTAAATCGCCTCAGTTAAAACCCTTACCCTAGTGGATCACTCACCGTTATCGTCTGGACCCGTCCGTCGGCTGCGACTGGCAATTTATCGAGGACTCGATTCGTCTTTCTATCGAACACGTAGACAACGCCGTGGTCACTGCCGCTGACCACCAGCTGACCGTCTTGGGCGAACGCGACTTGTCGAATTCGATTCGGCTTGGTCGTTCTGATACTGAAGTTCCTGACGAGGACCCTGT